TTAAAAAAAAAAAAAAAAAAAAAAAAAAAAAAAAAAAGGCCTGAAAGTTTTTTACTTTTAAGAGACCTATAAGCTATCAGCCTCTATTGTAAAAGATTATGCATGCTTTTTCTAAGTTCATTGTTTTAATCAATGTAATTCAAACATTTGAACACAGCATTTCTTAAGTAAATCTTTGCATGATATGTACAGAGCGTGTATGGTTGCTTAAAATAGCTAAGTAACATAATAAAATTAACAGCAACATAAAATAGTGCCAGTATCTCCTACCTAGGTGAATGTAAGATGCTAGAAATTTACTAGATTAGGAGAAAATCCTTGTAATTCCCTCAAACACAATGTCTAATAATAATAAAGATATACCCCAAAATTATCTCAAATCAGAAAAATATGTAATCCTTAAAATAATCAGGAATTAAATTATTAAGACAGATTCTTTTTGTCCTGTTGCTCAGGCAGGCATTGGACTCCTGAACTCAAACTGTGCCTCTCCCTCACCTCTCAGCTAGTCAGGAAGTATAGGCTCACACCAACACACCCAATTTCTTATCATGTATTATGACCATTTGGCAGAATGATCAAAGTCAACTGCCCAGTTCTTGCCAAAATTCTCTAATGTTTCATAAACCTTCAGACCCTATTCTGTTCCAAACACTAGTAATTATTTCTACCCGTCCACAGATACTGTAAAGGAGTCATAATGAAAATGTTCATTTGGTTTTTCCAGACAGAGTTTCTCTGTGTAGCTCTGCATGTTGTGGAACTCACTCTGTAGACCAGGCTGGCCTCGAACTCACAGAGATCCATCTGCCTCTGTCTCCCGAGTACTGGGATTAAAGGCATGCACTGCTGCCACTACCCAGCAAAATGAATTTATAAATAATGTTCAAATCTATGTTTACCAGAAAGCATTTTAAAGTAAATCTGCTATAAAAATGTTTTTTAAACTCTTTTCTATAAGAATTATACATAAACTTCAAAGCACATAAAAGCCCAAGTGTTCTGGAATTTGGATTAAATTAAAACACTTGAGAAATATTTCTAATTTGTACAGTCTAAAAAGAGCTGATGCCAAAACACTGTCCACCACCAGCAGGTGAAGGAAAAGTAAGGAGCATACTGAAAACAGCACAGAAGAGAAGACTTTTTGGTTTTTCAAGACAGGGTTTCTCTGTGTAACAAACAGCCCTGGCTGCCCTAGAACTTGCTCTGTAGACCTGGCCAGAAAACTCTTACTGTGGCACCCTCCCCTTGCTCTCCGGTCCCTGGAAGCTGTAGGGTTTCATACCCACTGAGGTTAGAACAAGCTGAGCAGAAAAGGGGAAAACAGCTGATCTCAACACTACCCACAAAACATAACTTTTCTTCAAGTTGATTAAATTAGCCTCTTTCATTGTGATAAGAAACAGAGAAGAGTGCTACAGACACAGCACTGAGCTACAAGTCAAGATCCAGTAGTAAGTATAAATACCCATTTATATTTTAAATGGATTTGACAATCAGATGGCTTATGGGGCGCCATGACACTTTGATATTTATTATCTCATATGGAACAATAAAACCAAGGTGAGAAGTTCATAACCTGACATACCCTTTTGTAGTAAAACGTTGGCTCTACCCTAACAGTTCTGAAATATATAATGCACACCTATTCATTGGTCACCCTACTGAGCAGAAGGCCACTACAGCTCCCCCACAGAAACTCAATGCTCTGACCAGGAGTTCCCATCCCAGTCCATCTCCTCCACAGCCTCTCAGAATCGCCATTCTACTAGAGCTCCAGTAATAGTGAGTCTACACTCATAGCTACATACTCACCAGGCTGTTCCTAACTAAGTTGAAGCATAATTACCTTTAGTTTATGTGCTTCATTTTTATCCCCAGCAAAAAAAGAATTCTCATCAAAATGCAAAGGAAATGACCTGTGTTTTAAACAGAGAAGGGTCATGTTCATGTATTGTAAGTGTTGAAAGTCAGTTATAAATAATATAGTTAAAATAGAGTAAAATCAGTAACACCAACAATGCAAAATACTTATCCTCAAATCTAAATGTTAAGTGCATCAGAAGTCTGGCCCCAAATTTAGACTGTGCAAATAAAAATAATGCTGGTATTAAGAACTTCAAAAAAAAAAAAAAAAGTTGTAATACGCAGATCAAAGCAAACCAAGATATTCTAGAAGATCTGGGGAGGCCCATTGTGGCCATGCACACCTACATTCCCAGCACCCAGGAGGCTGAGGCAGGAGAATCTGACCATCTCAAAAAAAGAAACAAAAACCTAAAAGCCCAATGAACAGAACTATAGTTACATTATTTTAAAGATGGTTTCCTTCTCTAACTAAATAATGCAGGGTTTACTTTGGACACCACCCCCCACCTATGCGTTAATGTATACATTGTAACATATAGAACCTACTTGATTTCATGAAGGATCTCCAGAAGTAACACTTTGTTTTCTGCATCCTGAACTTTATTTCCTGTGAAGAGCTGAAAATCTGGGCGCTCAAAAAACGGAAGCACTTTAGATAGAGCCCTTAACTCTATCAAGTAGAGAAAGTACAAGTTCTTCAGCCTCCTCGGACCTTCTCCTTCAGTCAAAATCCCATCAAAGCGTTGCTGAAACTCTGTGACATTGTGGCCCCACTTCTTTTCCAGCCAAGTATCTAAAAAGAAAGAAGAATGCTAAATAATTCAAGTGTACACTTAAGTAATTTTCATTTTAACTATAAGGGGCTATTTATATTTATAGAAGTCAATTTCATTTTGTAGTTTAAAATACATAATTCAACCAAGAATTTTTTTTTTTTATAATTTAGCCTTTAAGACTTCCATCATACACCTGACATGGTGATGTACACCTTTAATTCCAGACAGAGGCAGGTAAATCTCTGTGAGTTCAAGGCCAGCTTGTTCTACATACAGAGCACCAGGACAGGCAAGGCTACATAATGAGACCTTGCATCAGAAATAAATAAAAATTTAGAAATTCTGTAGACAGAATTTTGTCTTCTGTAACCCATTCTTAAAGGCAAAACAGGTTTTTGGTAAAAATCAAATTTCTGAGTATCAACAATCACAAAATCAAAATGTATAGTTAAAAATAACTTGACAAGCTGCAGAGGGGGCTGAGCAGTTGACAGCAGGGCTGCTTGTCCAGAGGACCTAACTTCAGTGCCCAGAACCCACGGCAGCTCACAACTGCCTGTAGCTCCTGCATCAAGTGGACCTGACACCTCTGGCTACTAAGGCACCTGTACTCACATACACATACCCCCACAGACATGCATAATGAGGAATAGAAACAAAAATTTTTGAAGTTACTAATGAATTTAAAGCATCATTTTAAACCAAAGTTTCCATTTTATTTCTGAAAGGTAAAATACTTCCCAATTTCAGAAGAAATAAGTTGCTGAGGAAAATGTTTTGAATTTCCATCAACATCCTAAACCTTGAAGAACAGAAGACAATGCTATGACCACTGAAGTCCACACATAAATAAAGGCTCTCATGAGGTAACACACTATGCTGTTGGACATATTCTAATTTCCTCAGTCAACAAAGCAACACTTCCAAAGCAATGTGTGTAATTTTGAGAGAATTAATAATATATTGAACCACTCAACTGTACACACAATTTCTACATTCCTAGACACCACCATTTACAAGTGGATTCTTACTGCCCAATAGTCAAACAAGTTTGCTTTCCCACCCAGGCAAACACCAAGAAAATGTTAAGAATAGCTAAAGACAAGTGTACAAAAGATTTTAAAAGTACATACCTGCCAGGTGGTGGTGGCACACGCGTTTGGTCCCAGCACTCAGGAGGCAGAGGCAGGTGGCTCTCTGTGAGTTCGAGGCCAGCCTGGTCTACAAGAAATAGTTCTAGGACAGCCTCCAAAGCCACTGAGAAACCCTGTCTCAACCCCCCCCCAAAAAAAGGACATACCTTGTAAAAGATACCGTGCACTCAAATGTACATTAATGCTTGCATGTAGACCAGATATAAGCCTGTAGAATGCTCTCTTTTCTACACAGAGGCCTAAAAGAAATCAATGGTTCAGAAATAAAATTCCATATTTTAATCTTGGGAATTTAAGATTTATTTCATGACTTTTAAAATAAAAAAAGTGTCATTTAAATTTGTTTAAAAGTTTCTAATTTACCTTCTAGCCAGCTGTAAAAAGTATTCTCTGAAATGAAAAGAAAAATAAGTCATAATTTTTTTCATAAAACCAAAATGTAAATTTTCAAGTGTTTTAAAGACTGTTCCAGTCAATGGTCCAAATCTTACAATTTCTTCAAAGGAAAAGATTGGGTGTGGATCCAGGTAAGCACTGCTCTGCCCCTCAGTTAGACCCTCTCTCCTAACTTTTTGGATAAAATGTTTTATGTTGTCAAACTGTAGAATTGAGAATCTGGAGGAATGCCACTCTGTGTTACATCACTTGGTTACCATGTTCACAACTCCTGGGCTCGATCCCTAAGACCTCTTTTCTGCTGGGCATTGGTGGTACACACCTTTAATCCCAGCACTCAGGAGGCAGAGACAAGAGGATCTCTGTTAGTTCAAAGCTAGCCTCGTCTACAGAGCAAGTTCCAGGACAGCCTCCAAAACAATACAGAGAAATCCTGTCTCAAAAAACTAAAAATAAATAAATAAATAAACCTCTCTTCCACAAGTAACACACATACAAACTAAATCTAGCAAGATTGCTTAACTATCTAAGTTTTCATAGCAATCTATGCTTTAAAGATTAAGGACTTCCACATACTTTCAAGTTAAGAAGAAACAGAATTTCATACAATTCATTATACCCAAAGAGCAATAGAATAGAGCAGTGCTAAAAACCCTTGCTCATGTTCTATGACCTAACGATACTAAAGCTCAGTCATTTTGGTTTCAGAATTATGCTGCAAAGAAATAAAATGCGGAGAGGACAAGGAGCTCCTGGGTTATAGATATCTCTATACTAACAAGAGGAGAAGATATTCTGAGTGTCAGGGGAAGTGCAAAGATTGTAGTTTGCCACAATACCACCAGAACACATATCTGAACATACAAGCAGACGTGACGTGCATAATGCATGATACAAGTACATACCTTTACTTTTTCCTGAAAACAAAAAACAAAAAAGTAATTATTATAAACTATTTCTGCAATGCTTCTATTACATGAAAATAATACATTGGCAATGATTCGTTTTAATCCATCAGTGCATCCACACAGGTAAAGTCAATAGAAGGGGGCCCACAGCCACACTCCATTCAGCCATAGTTCAGGCTCACAGGTTCATATGTGCTCATAAGAGAGGAAAGTGAATCCCACTGAGAGCTGTCTGAAGCACCGGTGCTTATTTGGATGGCAGTCTTTTGGTACATTTATTATTCTAATGCTACAACATAATTCTTGTTAAAGGTCTGTATTACTGCTGCTTTGAATCCCCAGACTGACAGAAGATTTAACCTTGGGAATGTTTTCAAAGACTATAAAATTCAAATGCTTCATAATGGGCAGTTTGTATGCAGCTGCTTACTTACTCCTGAAATATCATCTTCATTTTTTCCCCATTTTCCTTTTTTAGGTTATATTTCTTATAGAAAAAATATTTTTCAAGAAATTTTTTTGATCATGGTCTCCCTCCCCTAACTCCTCCAAGGCTCTCCCTACCCCTCACCTACCCAAATCCACACCCTTTCTTGTTCTCTCACACTAGACAACAAAAAGGCATATAAAAATAATAAAATAGGGTAAAATAAAAAGAAATGAAAACTGAATATGACAAAACAAACAGGTAAAAAAGACGCCCCCCCCAAAAAGATTAAGGAACACATATAGACACAGACACACACATTCATACACATAGAATTCCCAGAAAGAGCCAAGCGGTGGTGGCTCACACCTTTGATCCCAGCATTCAAGAGGCAGAGGCAGGAGGATGTCTGTGAGTTTGAGCCAGCCTGGTCTATAGACTGTTCCACGACAGTCAGAGCTATGCCTGTCTTGAACCGCACCCCCACATCCCCCCAAAAAAAAGGATTCAAAAAGAAAAAAAAAAAAAAAAGCAAAATTCATAATATATTAGCAAAAGCATGATAGGACTTTTTTTTTTTTTTTTTCAGGACAAAGCATTGAGACAATAAAACCTCCAAAACTAGATCAGGTTCACTTTGTGTTTTTTTTTTAACACCATCACTGTTTGTTAAACATATACTCACTCATCACAAATGTTTTTTTAGATTTTTTAAATATTTGTTTCGTAGGTATCAGTGTTTTCTCTGCATGTATGTATGTATATCACATTAATGTCTGGTGCCCTTGGGGACCAGAGAAGGACATCAGATCTCCTGGAACTGGAGTTAGGATGGCTGTGAGCCACCATGTGTATACTGGGAACTAAACCTAGGTCTTAGTGTGTCTTCCCAAGGCAAACACCATGTATATTTTTTTAAATTGTGAGTGTGTGTGTGTGTGTGTGTGTGTGTGTGTGTGTGTGTAAGTATTTAGAGATAATGTCCTATAAAATATAGATGCTGTTTTCCCACATGCTTTTTTTCCTTCACTGTGCTATTAATCCTTTATTTAAATGAAGACAAATTAATAACAATACTTGTTACAGGTGTATTATATTGTATCTCATATATCATGTAGCTGGTTTTCTGATAAATGTTAAAATTATTCCCATTTTAATTAACATGCATGATGATGATTAAGCCACAATGTAAATACTTAATAAACACTTATCTATGAATTTGCATTTCACCTAATATTAGATCAACAGCTTCTACTGAATTATCACATACAACTGTATGCAACCTAAAATGCTCTTTCCTTTCCTAAGAAAAGCTTGTCTGCCAGCAGTCAGTGTGTGCTTAATGACAATATGACATCACCGTATTTTCAAATGAATTAAGTGAAACCTTATATATTTGGTGAAAGTGCACCAAAGACTGTTTTTGGTGGGAGAGGATTTGAAACAGGATTTCTCTGTATAGCCCTGGCTGTCCTGGAACTTGATCTGGAGACCAGGCTGGCCTTGAATTCATAAAGATCCACCTGCCTCTGCCTCATGAGTGTTGGGACTAAAGGTGTGCGTCACCACTTCCTAGCTCAAGGATTTTATCAGTAAGTTCATACTGGAAGAAAATAACTGGTGGATTGAATGAGAATGGTCCCTACAGGCTCCTGTTTCAATGCTTGGTCTCCAAACTGTTGGGGAAGGATTAGGAGGTGTGGCCTTGTTCAAGGAGGTGTCACTGGGGGGTGGGTTTTAGGATTGGAAAAGCCCAGGCCATTCCGCTTGGTTCTCTCTTTGCCTTGTACCTGAAGAGCTCTCAGCCACTTCTCTAACACCATCCCCTGCCTGCTGCCATGCTCCCTACCATGACAGTCATGGACTTTACCACCCTCTGAAACTGTAAGCCCTCAACTAAATGCTTTCTTTTATAAGTTGCCTCAGGCATGGTATCTCTTCATAACAGAAAAGTAACTAAGGCAATAAAGATATGTAAGTTCCAAAAAAAAAAAAAAAAAAAACAGAAATCATGTGTAGAAATGGTTGATTCCATAGACTCTTAATACCTGTGAGGGCAGTTTGATTTGCACATACCCTTGGCATCTACACAATGCCAGGAACATGGTGAAGAATCATTTGCTTCAAGGGTAAGTGATTTTTTTTCCCTACACTCAACAGTATCCAAAATCAAACTGTTAAAATGAAATTATAAAACACGTCAATTTTTCTAATTCCATTAAAGAAGCTATCCAATGGGGAAAACAATTTCCATGATCTTTACCTAGCAACTTACTCCATAATTACCAGGCTCTATGTTGAAGTAATTGCTGCCCATACCCCAAAGCACTAGGGGATATGGATACGTACATATATATAACAGAATGATGCTACCAGTCAACAGGTTACATAAGGGAAGCAAACACAGACTACTTCAGAAGGAGCCAAAGATGACTTCCACCTGGGAAGGAAAATGTTTTGGGAAAGGCAGCAGCATTTAGACCAGATCTTGAGTGTAGACCAACAATGAAAACTGTCAGTGAGATATAAAGGCATGGGGATTTATATTCAGACCATATATGGAATATGAATAGGATTTAAAGTCTTTTATTTTTGTTTTGTTTTGTTTGTTTGGTTGAGAGTCAAGCCCAGGGCCTGAGATATGCTGACCAAGCACTGTACCATTAAACTTCCTCCCCAGCTTAAGTTATTTGAAAAATTAAGTAAATGTTTGGGATATTCATTTATTTGGAAGATAAATAAAACTGAAGTAAACAACTACTTAGTGCGTTACAAAAACAGACAACAAATACATAACCTAATCTTCATATTACAATGGCCTAACACCACGAATATCCTTAGGAAGTATAGCTGTGAGAGTGAGACATAACTTCTCTAGAAACAGGGCCAGGGAACTACAAGACCTCAACTGCCCTTGCCACTTAACTTCTCCTTCCTCTCCACTCTAACCCAAGTTTACTAGCCAATAAACAATAGAAGGTGCAAATAACTCACCTTGACCAGAAGCCAAAGGATTTAAAGGCCTTTGAATTGTCTGTGGCCTAAAAACAAAAGAATTGCACTGTGTGAACACCAGTGTTACCAACAGTGTTATAATTATATCTGATTTGGAAAGTGAAATGTGTTATCATTCAGAGCTTTTGTCCCTGAGAGAACTGCACATTCACATGCACACACAAATGCATGCACTTGCACACACATGCACACACAGGTTTTACCCCAAAGTTAGCTGGTACATTCTTCAGAGCCTCCAGATGTCCAAGTAAAGAACCTTAAGCATTTCTCAGTCACCCAATGATCAATGTCCATTGCACTGGTTAAGGACACAAAGGGGGAGCTTCCCCTAGGCACTGAACAAATACCTAGCTTTGTCTTAGCTCTCCATCTGCAAGCACTTATGACTATAATAAACTGTTACCATGAGAACTAGAGGAGCAAGTCCATGTCACGATTAACAGTGCATAGCATATAGTGAGTACACAAAAATATCACCCCAGAGTGTTCTCTGAAATCAGTTTAACTTTTAGAGAATAAAATAACTGTGACCACAGAAAGGGGAGCAGAGAGGAATGAAAAGAACCTTAAACTGTAGATTCTCAGCTGTACCCCACCACTGGCTATAGTGATCTTGGTAAATGAAGCAAAGCCCCTGGTTCTGAATTACTTCATCTACATAAGGAGATCCTATAAGCCACTCTTATCTAAGTCTTTTTTTTTTAAGATTTATTTATGTATACAGTGTTCCACCTGTATGTATGCCTACAGGCCAGAAGAGGGCACCAGAGCTCATTACAGGTGGTTGTGAGCCACCATGTGGTTGCTGGGAATTGAACTGAGGACCTCTGGAAGAGCAGACAGTGTTCTTAACCTCTGAGCCATTTCTCCAGCCCATAATATTACCTAAGTCTTTAAAGAAGTATTTGTTGCAGCCGGTACCCCAGGGGGAACAGGATTTATGACATTTAAGTTTCTATGTCCAAATCAGTCTCTTAAGGACATGAACCTAATCTGCACAACTCTTAGAAAATAATACATACTTAAAACAGTTTTCTTCATATATGACACTCCATATCCTCCAAGCATCCGGCCCCTTGTAGCCTGTGTAGCGCTCAGGGTTAAGGAGTAAATCCACATACTCAGCGTCAGGAGACTGTATGTCTGCAAGATAAAACATTTCACCATATCTTTCCTATTTCAGAACAACATTTTAGGAGAAAGAAAATAGGGAGAAACAAACAGCCACATCCACTGTACACAATGTTTGCAAAAAACCCTGATCTTGTAAGTGGTAAGAATAGAAATACATGAATTTTAGAGTTTAAGAAAACATGTGAGTCAATGCTCACAATCTGTCCAAACAATGAACGTTTCTATCCATGTTAGCATGAATGCAGATCAGCACTGACTAGAGGGAATGATGAAAGTGCATTTGATCCTGAGCAGGAGAAAAGAGAAAGAGCCGGGCAGTGCTGGCGTAAGTCTTAATCCCAGCACTCGGGAGGCAGAGGCAGGCAGAGCTCTGTGAGTTCCAGGACAGCCTGGTCTACAGAGTGAGTTCCAGGACAGCCAGGGCTACACAGAGAAACCATGTCTCAAAACGCAAAAACAAAAACAAAATAAAAAACAAAGAAAGAAACAGTAAAAAAAGAAAAATACACTAAAAATCACATAGACAAGAGACACATATGTCAAAACATGGCATGTATCCACTACAGAAAACTCTCCTTCCCCCAAAAAATCACAGAATTTTAAAAGCTTTTTCTTTTTTTGAGGGGGAGGCACAGGTTGAGACAGGCTCTCACTATGTAGCCCTAGCTTTCCTGGAACCCAAAAGATCCACCTGCCTCTGCATCTGTCTCTGCTGGAATTAAAGGTGTCCATCATCAATGACCAGCTCTTTTCACTAACTTTTCAAAAGTTCGTTGGTCCACTACTAAAGAGCCATAAATAAATATCAAAATTCAAATTTGATTTAATTTTGCTTAGCCAATTCAGAGGTCAACAATTCAAATTTTAAAAAAAGATACTAGAAAAAGAAGAATTAGATCAATAAATCTTGATCCAGGGCCTAATGTGTTCTAAGGCTGCCAATTTTAGCACCAGCTGCAGACATGATGTCATGGTTCAATATTCTCTACACCAAAACCACAGAGACCACTATCACAGAAAAGGTTAACAGTCCAGCAGCATTTAAAGAAGACATTCTCTTCACTCCTACAGTTTAGCTACTTTTGCAAAATGCAAAGGATTCAGAACTGTAAACTGCTTGATACATAAAACTGCAAAACCCAAGAGCTAAGTTTTTTGTTTGTTTTTTTTTTAACAGAAACCAATTTTAATTTTCTTTTTACTGTGGTAAAAATACATAATGAAATTAGCAATTTCCCCCATATTCAGTGTAGCATGAGTTATATTCACAATGCTGTGTAATCATTGCCACTTTCTGTTTCCAAAACTTTTCCATAGCCCTGAACAGAAACTGTGATCATTTAACAATTAACTCTCCATATGCCACCCCAGCATGTCTATTAACCGCTAATCTACTTTCTGTTGCTATGAGTTTGCCTGTACCAGACAGTTCACAAGTGTATTCAGACCATACTTGTCTGGCTTCTTTCACAGGCCATGTTTCCAGGGTTCTGCCACAATGTAGCATTTGTTGGAAGCTCCCTCCATCTTATGGCTCAGTAGTATTCATGTGTATTTGTATGATATATACATAACACATTTCAATTATTTTTGTACCTAGTGATAGACACACAGACCATTTTAGCTTGTGTCTCTTATGAACGAACATTGGTCTACCTGTCTGAGTTTTCCAATTCCTTTGAGTTACATACCTAGGAATGCCACTGTAAAGTCCTATGATTCTATGTTTAGCTTTCTGAGGACCTGTCGTCACACTGTTAGTACTGAGATTTTAAAATAACTAAAAAGAATTGAGGGGCGGCATCTGGGGAGGGAGGGAGGGAGGGAGGGGGAACATGGAAGGGAACATAATACACACATTAACAAACATCATACCATCAACTTCACAGAAGCTGTCTGAAGAATCGTCATGCTTGGTCCATTGAAGAACAGCCTTCTGGGTTTCCTCACTTCAAATAAGGAAAATTGCATCATTCTTTTTTACCAGTCAACTGTGACAAAGAAAAACAAAAGTAGCTCGAAGAACAAATCACCTTAGAGATTCGTCCACCGCTCCAAGCCGTTCAGCTTGTTCACATTCTTCAATGAGGTTAGCTTCTTCAGAATACTAAACGGAGAAAGAACAGACGGATTTCCTACATTTTAAAACAGGGTCACATAACTCCTTGCTTTAACCTCCCGAATGCTGGAATTACAGGCATGAGCCGCACAGCCTTAAGAAACATTTTTCAGGAATTAAAAGTTAGCCAAGGCTCATGCTATCTGCCATGATCAACCAAGCTCCAAAGCCTACAAAATGAGGTCTGTTTGTTTGTTTTTATCAAGACAGGCTTTCTCTGTGTAGCTCTGGTTGTTCTGAAACTCTCCCTGTAGACCAGGCTGGCCTCAAGCTCACGGACCCGCCCACCTCTGCCTGCACCCTGCATAAAATGAACTCTTACAACCAAAAATTAGGTGAAAGGATTTTTTTGCCTATTGTTTTTGTCAAAAACACAATTTACTACTATGTTCACAAAATAAAGACTATCTCACTGACAAACAGCAACTGAGATGTGCACAGGGAAAATTTCTGAGGTATATGGAAGTCATACAGTACATCAGAAGGCAGAGTCCTAGTGACCTGACTATAAGCGCTAGTTTCTTCCCTGACAGTGTGGTAGTAACAGATCGTGCATCTCAGCTCCTTCCCATGCCATAATTAGAAAAGCATCTTATAGAAAGTTTGCTAATAGCTTTATGTATTTAAAACACATGTTTTAACTACCCTATTTCTTGTTGATGTCTGTGTAACATGCATACATACATTTTTTCCTAGCAGGTGTGTGCACAGCACAGACCAAGCTCATGAGACTTGATAACCCTGCCATTACATCAGCTTGGTAAGATCAGAATTAGGAGGGCATACAAAATTGTTTACTGAACACCTACAACAGCCTTGTTAGGATGATCACAGGATTTGTCCACTCTAGGATACTGAAAGTACTGAAATGACTAAACTTTTAGGGGACATTAAATAACTGAAGTGATTGGATTTTTTGAAATATATATTTATTGACTGACAACTGTGCTTCATTATATTTAGTTAATATGTAAGACAGTTTAACTTTTAAAAAAGCTTCTTGAAACTCAAATTCTTTTGTACATAGTTAAATATTTAAAGTAAAGATATATAATCTACTTGACCTGCAATCAAATGGCTCAGAGTATCTATACAGAAAAAGGATACAAAACAAGTGTGCTGAAATATGTAAAAGTCAGGGACAACAGTATACAAAATGTTTTTATGTTAATCTTACAATTTTACTGTAAATTGTAAACTATTTTAGATGAGACTTGGCATATTCAAGGTGGTACAGCCATGGACTTAAAATTACGTGAAAAGAAAATTACACCTTTAATCCCAGCACTCGGGAGGCAGAGGCAGGTGAGTTCGAGGCCAGCCTGGTCTACAGAGGGATTTCCAGGACAGCCAAGGCTACACAGAGAAACCCTATCTTGGGAAAAAAAAAAAAAAAAAGGAAGGAAGGAAAGAAGGAAGGAAGGAAGGAAGGAAAGAAAGAAAGAAAAAGAAAACAAAATTTCAAATAAACATCAAAGGCCCCAAGAGATGGTCCAACAGGGGTAGACACCCTTGTCATGCAAGCCTAATGACCTGAGCTTGTTCCCCAGAGCCCATGTAAGAAGCCAGATACAATAGCATCTATAATCCCAGCACTACTACAGTAATGTAAGGCAGAGACAGACATGACCAGAAACTCAAGAACCAGATAGCCTGAAAGATGATGCCCAGCTTGCAAAATGAGGCCCTGCTCACACACACATACATACACATGCCAAACAACTTAATATGCTTTTAAATTTACTCAAAAAAAGCATCATATGCCTATGTATATACACTAAAACAAAAACTTTTAAACCCTTATCTGAAATTTTTTTAAGTTAAAGTAACTTTTTAGTACCATATAGTAATTTACTCAGCTTCTTAATTACAATTATCTCTTTACTAGGTTATAGAAATGTTTCTGAAGAACATTTTTCCAATAGTTTATAATTTTAAATTTTCTATAAAACTGATCACAGTCTTCTTCAAAACTATATGTGATTAATCTATTTGAAATTACCAAAAACCTCAGCTGACTGCTCTCTTCAGATATTTTCTGAGTAAATACTCAATATATTTATATGTGTGATGTTTTAACCAAAATGTTTTATAACTTCTATTTTTTGAAAAAAATTTGAATGTCATTTAACTTAATTCTGATATGGTCTAATTTTGCATCTCTCCTAAACAAAATGATTTATCTGAGTTTGGCCTTAAAATGATGGGAAAAATGGAATAGGAAATACACATGAAACAAAACTAGCCTTGGCCGGAAGTTGGTGGAGCCCGCCTTTAATCCCAGTGCTTGGGAGGCAGAGGTAGGTGGATCTCTGTGAGTTTGAAGCCAGCCTGGTCTACAGAGTGAGTTCCAGGAGAGGCTCCAAAGCTACACAGAGAAACCCTGTCTCGAAAAACCAAAGAACAAAACAAACAAACAAACAAACAAAAAAACTGGCCAGATAATAATAACTGTTATTATTATAACAGTTAATTACTGTTAGATAATGGGTAATAACTGTTAGATAATGGGTAAGTAGGTTTCCGCCTGCTACTTTTACTTAAATGTTGTATATATTTTTCTTAAAGGGGGCAAAAGCTACTGAATATGAACTAACGTTCAAGGTTATCTGACTGTGGACAGCAGGGAAATGGATTTTCCAAGATTTTTGTAAACAAAGGTCACATCAGTAAGTGTATGTGCATACCTTGTAGCTTGCAGACTTAATTCCATCAGGAACTTCATCCTGAAAAAGAAACACATTTATTTTATCTTCAAAAACAATATTTTAGATTCTTATGGCTTAAATTCACAAATTACTAGAGACTATCTTTAAGTGAGAAGAGTTAGGAAATTTTAAGTGATTTCTTTAAAGTAAATAAAAATTCAACAGGTGTGATAGCATACAGCTCTAATCCTAGCTGTCCCATAGATATCTGTGTGAGACCAGCCTGGTCTATGTAGCAAGACCTATGAAATAAGATCTTCTCTCACAAAATGAGTAAATAAAATTCAAGGCCTATTGATTGCTGATCATGTACTGTACCATGGAAATATAATACAAGCATTCTATGACTCTTGTGGTGCACAATACAAAAGCAGGAGCGTGGGCCGATTAGGCTGTGGCAAACATCCCAAATCCATGTGTGCTCTTTTCTTTTTTTTTTTTTTTTTTTTTTTTTTTTGGTTTTTTGAGACAGGTTTCTGTGTGGCCTTGGCTGTCCTGGAACTCTGTAGACCTGGCTGGCCTCAAACTCACAGAGATCCACCTTCCTCTGCCTCCCTTTAGTGCTGGGACTAAAGGCGTGTGCCACGACTGCCTGGCCCATGCATGTTCTTTAGTCACTCTTAGGTCCCTATAATTTACCCTATTATGAAGTGTTAGAATAAAGCACAGGCTTGTCTGCAGGGAGTGAAAATATTCATTCTCTCAATGTCACTTGAGAGCCTCTGGGTCCAGCTTGTCTGTTCTTAGCATGTATAGCTCAGGTACTTTGTAACTGGGCTGTGATAAGTGTGTTGAAAGGGTCAATTTAGTGCTTCTCCTCTCTACTAAACCACAAACTCAAGGGCAGAGCTAAGCTTATATACCCAAGACTTGGCACCCTTCGTGCCCACACAGAATAGTTATTATTCAAATCACATGCTAATTGTATCTTTACCAGTCTCTTCATCTCCTCATTTTCCTCTCATGCCTTAAAACTACGCTATCTTTCTAAATCATGGCTTTTCTGTGCCAATCTTATATTTATAAAATGAGAAGATTTTGAAGTGGGAATGTTAGGTTTTTCTTTTTGACTTTTATTATTTATGACAATTTCATATACATATAACATGCATTCAAATATCACTTCTTTGTCTTTTACTCCCCTCCCCACGTTCATGATTTTATTGTTTTTGGTTTTTTTGAGACACACTGAGTTTAACCAGGACATCTGTAGGACTATGGGTCAGGCCTGAATTGGAGCCTACTGGGCTCTTCAGTGGGTAAAAATGAAGGCAGTGACTGCCCCTCCCGCCAGAAGCCATCAGCTTCCACTAGATAACAGGAAGGTATCATGGTTTTTAAAAAGGCAAACATTCTATCAGCCTAAGAAACAAGACTACTGGACTCACAGGCAAGCCCTCATTCTGAAAAAGCTCAGTCTACCACATCTTACCACAATTCCTCAGACACTAGTGCATTTAAATTTCCCCAACTATTTTTTTCCTGTTGCTAGTTTACTATTATCAAAAACATAAGTGAGCTGGGCAGTGGTGGTGCACACCTTTAATCCCACCACTCAGGAGGCAGAGGCAGGTGGATCTCTGTGAGTCTGAAGCCAGCCTGGTCTATAGAGAAGAGTTCCAGGACAGCCAGGGCTACACAGAGAAACCCTGTCTTGAAAAACCAAAAAAAAAAAGAAAAGGAAAAAAAAAAAAAAACACATAAGTATAAGAACTTACAAATTAAATATTTAAACTGATAATATGTTAATGATATGTCAGACTTTCACATAATAACTGCTGTGCTTTGGTCATTCCCAAAAGGCCCAAGTGTTAAAAGCTTGCACCCAGGGAACACCTTGAAAGGTATTAGAACTTTTGAGAAGTGGAGAAATGGGAACTCTTGGGTGCCACTAATAAAAACATATAATACTACAATCACTATGGAAGACAGTTTTGTAATTCCTCAAAATTTATAATTACCACACAATCCAACAAACCCGCTTATAGATATATACTAAGAAAATCTTAAAGGCTAGAGACATGCCTCAGTGGTACAGATGTACTGAACAGCAGCCAAGGAATGGATATATATTACTATATATAGTACAGCACTAATGGTTTATAAACTAGATATAAATCTAGATATTCAGCAGTACACTGATTCACTCTTAGAATTCTGATATACGCTATGATATCTTTTACTTAAAATCAATATACTAAGTGAAATAAAACCAGATATAAAAGGACAAATATATAATTCCCTTTATGGTGGTGCCTAAAACAGTCAAACTAGAAAAAAAAAAAAAAGAATGAAGTGGCCAAGGATGAGAGGGGCTGGGTTAGTATTTAAGCAGCACGGTTTCAGTATGTGGGGAGGATCAGAAAGGGACAGTAGAGATGGCTGCATAATATACATGTACTTAATGTCAGCTTGAAGTGGTTAAGTGGAATGTGAAATGAAAATACAGACATTTTTGGTGGTGCTCGGTATCAGGGCAACAGGGCCTCATGCATGCTAGACAAGAGCTCCGCCACTGGGCTACACCCTTGCATCATTTGAAAGTATGAAAAAAGCAATCTCTGCTTTCACAGTGGAATACTTCAAACAAATGTCAAGCCAAAAGAACAATTAATCTTCTCTCTAATAAATCAAAAGATTGCATTACCTTGATAGGCAATGAAGGAACCAGAGTGGAAGGAATCCCTTAAATAAAAAAGACTTAAAAAAAAAAAAAAAATGGTATAGGGCCAGCCAGACAGTTCAGGGGGTAAAGGATCTGGCACCAGACTTAAGCGCCTGAGCTCAGTCCCTGGAACAACACAGTGGGAAGAGAAGGCTCATCCTAGCAAGTTGTCTCTGACCTCCCCAAGTAAGAGGCATGCCACCCCCTCACCACCAACAAATAATGTAATAAAAAATTAATTTGACTTTATAAAAAATAAGTGTATTAACCATAAAAACTAATTTTTTACTTAAAAAAAAAAAGACACTTTGGTCAACACCCTTAGTACTTGGGAGGCAGAAGCAGGCAAACCTCCAGAATGAGGACAGCCTGATCTACATAGTGAGTTCTAGACCACCAACGTCTACATAGTGTTTCAGTAATAATAATTATTACATATAATTATTATGTTATTATTACATGCAATTATACATTATTATTATTATTATTATTATTATTATTATTATTATTATTATATAATACCAAGAAGACAGCATAATTCAAAATAGATTTTTATGGGGCTGGGAGAAGGCTCAGTCAGTAAAATGCCTCACACACAAACATGAGAACCTGAGTCTAGACCCTCAGCATCCGATTAAGAAGTCAGGCTGGATGCAGCCCCTGCGGTTCCAGAGCTAGAGGGAGAGCCCCTGGAGCCCCTGAACTGGAGAGGCAGCCCCTGCGGTCCCAGAGCTTCAGGAACAGTGGGTGTCATGCCTCATCAGTGAACCACAAGGTTCGATAAGAGGCTCCATCTCAGATCTAAAGTGGAAAGTGACAGAGGAAGCCACTTGATGTCAGCCTCTAGCTCCATGCCACTCCATGAACCAGCACACACACAAATAAATACCTTTTATATTTACAAGTTTAGGTTTATGATACACAAATGAATGTTATATTTTTTAAAGATTTATTTATTTAATATGTGTAGAGAGCTATGACTGCATGTATGCCTGCAGGCAAGAAAAGGGTACCAGATCTCATTACAAATGGTTGTGAGCCACCATGTGGTTGCTGGGAATTGAACTCAGGACCCTGGGAAGAGCAGCTAGTGCTCTTAAACTCTGAGCCATCTCTCCAGTCCTGAATGTTATATTTAAACAGGATCAAATTATAATTTGATTAGTAGTAGCCCTCTTGGAAAATGTGTAAAGAATGGAAACAGTTGGGACAGTTCTTACAGAATGGCAGGGTTTGACAGCACAGTCTCTTCTTCCACACTGGTTGATGTCACTCCAGAAAGGACATGGCTTCTTCAGGTTTACCTGTAAAAGAATTGAAAGTTACAAAACAATAAAGCCCTGAGAATATAACTGACTGTTGGAATCAGGATCCCAGGTTGTGACGATGGTTTAGCAGAGATTACACGGTCTCTCTGTTACTGGTCAAGTTTCACTGACTGTATAAATGTGTGGCTGGTTTAAACTGGTAAACCTGGTTAGAAAGACACAGACCCCAAACAGGCCCTGTGCAGATGGCAGCTGGGAGTCAGGGCTCAAACTCACACCACTCAGCTGCCTTTGAACTGTGGGCCAGGTTTTAGAAGCTTTTTCAGTAATGTTCTCATGATCAGATACTGTAAGTGTTCAGTAAGTCCAAAAATGCCTCCTCTCAAAAAAAAAAAAAAATTACTTATCTTAATTAGAGCCCATCTAATGGCTGACAAAACAACAGAGTACGTTGTGAACATACAGCAATTTCCATTTTAACTTCAATTTAACCGGTTCATTTCTAACTCTAGAAATTACTGAAGTTAAAAGTATCAGGGCCATGGAGAGTTCAGCTGGTATGAGTTTACAAGGACATGAGTTTACTTCCCAGGAGCCATGTAAAAAGAAAGCAAGTATGGTGGCCTATGCCTATAATCCCAGAGTTGGTGACTCAGAGGTAAGATTACAGAAGGCAACCAGTGTAGCCTGTCAGAGCTCAGGCCAGTGAAAAACCAAGTCTGGAAAAAAAAAAAAAAAAAAAAAAAAAAAAAAAAAAAAAAAAACAAGTGGACTGTGCACACACACACACACACACACACAAAGTCCAATGGGTAGTTTCTCAACCAAACAGTTCACCTGTAAACCATGTTTTCTTACTAAACTTTGTATACATTTTTAACAATCAGAGGTGTCCACCAGGTGAAGATACCCCATAAGCTTAACATCCTGGGCTGGAGCCCCAGAACCAACATAAAGGTGAAAGGCGAGAGGCAACTCATGAAGTTAGCATCTTACCTCCACAGGCATGCCATGGCATGCACACCTGCATTCGTAAACACGCAAACACTATGATTTTTTTTGTTGTTTGTTTTTTCAAGACAGGGTTTCTCTGTGTTGCCCTGACAGTCCTGGAACCAGGCTGGTCTCAAACTCACAGAGATCTGTCTGCCTCTGCCTCCCAAGTGCTGGGGTCAAAGGCATGCACCACCATGTCGGCTCACTAAATTTTCTTTAATGTTTTTACATTTTGTATACAATTAAATAATTACCAATTTCAATAACAGCAAAGTTTAGTCATCTAAGAAAACATAATCATCCATTATAGCATACTTACATAAAAAAATGAAGCTACCCAGGCTGGAGAGATGACTCAGAGGTCAAGAGCACTGGCAGCTCTTTCAGAGGACCTTGAGTTCAATTCCCAGCAACCACATGGTGGCTGACACCATCTAAAATGAGATCTAATGCCCTCTTCTGGCATTCAGTCATACATACAGGCAGAACACTCTATACATAATAAATAAATAAATAAATCATAAAAAATGAGAATACCTTGTAATATCTAAAGTAGTCACTTTCAAGAAGTTTTTGTAGTCTTGGGAAAAGTCTGTAGTTATTAAATTTATCGATGGTCTCAACATCACAGGTACAATCATCCAGGTAACCACTAACCTGTTACAAAGAAAATGAAGCATTAGATTTAAATGTCCCAGATACCACATAGTTCATTTCCTCACATAGTTATTGTTCAAAATTTTTTTAAAAAAGGCCTGCTACTCAGCAACCTTATTGTCCCACCCTCAAGATAAAGACAATAATACAACGATTTTGTTTGTTCTTATATCTCTAGAGCAACACAGTAGCATTTCTATAGGGTCAACTGAGCTCAGATGTAGACAGAACTGAACCCCTAGCAGCCACCTTTTGGCCCTACCCTCCAGAACCAAGCTGATCTGACCAAAGGCTGGCACTAAAAGTAAGAGGGAGAGGTCTGTCTCCCTGTGGCTGGACCAACAAACAAGGAAACAAATCATATTTCATATTCCATCATATGACTGATGAGCACACACACGAAGGCAGAAAAGATGCCAAGACTCTCTACAGACCATTTCCCACTTGCACTTGGATATCCAGAGCAGGGCTGGATTCTTTGAGTTTTCCTAGAACTTACTTTGTCTCACTCTCATTTTTTTTCAGAGACTATATGAGTCAGAGACAGCTTGGTGAGTGTAAAAAGAGAAGTAACACCAATTAATAAAACAGTAACTCATTGTAAGAGGCTGACACCACCAACTATTGGGCCATGGCAGGTTTTCTAGGTTTGGAATGACGCTCAGAACTCACTTATCATAGCAACACTAGAGTAATAAACTGACCACAAGTGCTTAGCACTGATGTCTTGACCCTTCCTCCTAGATCAAACAATTAACTTTCTACATCTGGATGTAATGAGAAGTTATAATCAACCAATATTACTGGTTGTGAAACTTAACTTTTCGGGCATTTATTTGGAGTTAAGCAAACACCTGATAAAAGCAATGTAACATTAAGAAACAAGTACATCAGCCAGGTCTACAGAGAGAGTTCCAGGACAGGCTCCAAAGCTAGAGAAACCTTGTCTGGAAAAAAAAAAAAAAAAAAAAAAAAGGGGGAGGAGGAGGAGGAAGGAAGGAAGAAAGAAAGGAAAGAAAGAAAGAAAAAGAAAGAAAGAAGTATATAATTATTCAAAAAAAAGAAAAAGAAAACACAGGACGAGAGGGAGAAGGGAACTGGGATTGTCATGTAAAACAATCTTGTTTCTAATTCAAATAAAAAAATGATTTAAAAAGAAGACGAAAACACATCACACTGCAGAAAAGAGAACCCTGCAGTATTTTGGTGTGGTATGTCTGCACTGTAAACTGCATTGAAAATAAAGAAGTGCACCGGCCCCTCACTGAGGAGCTACTACTAACAGCTGCTATGGAAGAGTTTTCTTTAGGAATGTGGTCCCTGGTACACTGACCATGCTCCGTGGGCAGCCCCACACCCATACATAGAGCAGCACAAATTGATCTCAATGAGTAGTTTTTAAAAAAGAACAGTCATGTCAGGATTGTGGTGGCTCATGCCTTTAATCTCAGCACTTGGGAAGTGGATCTCTGTAAGTTTGAGACCAGCCTGGTCTCTAGAGCAAGTTCCAGGACAGCCAGGACTGTTATACAGAGAAATCCTGTCTCGAAAAAAAACAACAAAAGAGAGGACTCAATTTTGGCTCCCAATGGCCCAATCAGGTGCTCACACCACCTGTAACGCCAGGCCAGTGGAACTAATGGCTTCTTCTGATCTCCCTATGCATAGCACTCACATGCACATATCCCATACACACATACACATAATTAAAAATACTTTTTAAGAGTGAGGCATGGTGGTGCACACCTTTAATCCCAGAACTCGAGAGGCAGAGGCAAGCAGATCTCTGTGAGTTCGAGACCAGCCTGGTCTACGAAAGCTACTTCCAGGATAGCCTCCAAAGCCTCAGAGAAACCCTGTCTCAAAAAAACAAAACAAACTCAGTAACAGAAACTTTTCACCTGAAAACAAAAATATGCTAACAGCAATGTCCCAAAACTAACACTTTTTACTGATTTTTCTAGTCTCACTAATTTTCTAGAAGTCTGATCCACATATTCCATCATATCTATTTTTATCCCTTTTGAATTTGCAAGGAGAGAAACTGCCTCCTATCTCTCGCCTTTGATTCGAATTGTTAAAAAGAATGACAGAGAAATAGCACAAAGATTAAAAGGAGAGTAGCAACCAGAGACATCGAGTTACAAAAGGAAAAACAAAAACCTGAGCTTGAAGCCAAACACCCCAGGAGCTCATTGCCAAGGTGAAAACAAACCTGAAATAAAACTACAGGACACAGCTAAGCGCTGTCACTTTGGGGATGTTCTCTCTTGGTCTTCTACCACTTGGGGGCCAACTGCCTCTCCTGGGCACTTCCAGAACATTCCACATAGTACTGTAGTGTGAGAATACCTCACTTTCCTGACTGTATCTATCTCATCAACTAGTGTATAGTGTCCTTGAGACAAAACGATGTTTTTTCACCTTTGTGATCCCAGCCTATAGCACTATGCTTCTGGAAATGACATAGTAGATCACTCATGAAGCAGGCAGGTAAACGGGTGAGAGCTGCCCCCTGTTGTTCCTGAGACACGCCTCACTGACTGCATACATGTGCTTGGTGTCCCAAGCTCAAGAGCACACTCATGAGGCAAGGAACACAGGCCATGAGGCCAACCTTCTGTGCCCCACCCTTGTCTACCTGCATGTCATTCTCAAGTGCGCCAGAGGACACTCCAAGCCAGCAAGGAGTGCAAGATCCCCAGAGCAGGGATGGCACACAGCCAGAAGACTGTGGGACTGTGTCCCACTCAGTAGTGGCAGGACGCACACACATGGGAGACTTTTAAACCTTCTGCCCTTTACCCTTCATGTGGGATAGGCCATATTCTCCATTACAACCACAGGCAGCAGAGTGGCTAAGGACACAAAATAAAAATAACAGGGTTTCAATAGATGCAAAGAGCTCAAGCACAGTGACACTTGGAAATCTATGAGCTACGAAGGCCAAGAGGTGAGACAGAGCTCCATTCTTGGAAGCAGACTCACAGGTGAGATGCCAGCCTAGTTCTAGAAACTAGAGAACAGGAATGTTACCAAATCAGTCACAAGGAAGGGCTATGGCAGGAATGACGCCAATAGAACCCACAGACTCTTAGAAACAAACGAAAATCCTAGGACAAGAGACAGGTGCTAGACGTAACAAGCCCAGCCTCATGCTATGCTTCAGGACACGCTTCTGCTGGTCGGTAACTACCATACTTCCCCACTGGAAAGCACAGCCCTGCCTGCCACAGGAATCTAACCTTAAAAAAAAGCATCCTTCTCCCCTCCTAAAGTAGTTAACACCTACTAAAATCTGAAGTGCATTAACCTAGACTTCAAGTGATAACCAGCTTGGGTAGGAGCCAAACTAATAATTGAAGATAAAAAGGCCCACACTGAGGGACAGCAGGTGTTATGAGATATTTGATTATGTCACTCTGGTTTAATAAAAAACTGAATGGCCAATAGCTAGGCAGGATTTCCAGACACAGAGAGGTCACTAAGAAGAAGGAGGAGATATGAGACGACACAGAAGAAGCAGGATGACAGTATGTATATAAAGGAACCAGCCTCAGGACAGCACATAGATTAATAGAAATGGGTTAATTTAAGTTATAAGAGCTAGCTAAAAACAAGCCTAAGCTATCAGCTGAGATTTCATAATTAATAAGTCTTTGTGTCGTGATTTGAGAGCTGGCTGATGAGACAGAGAAAGGCTCTCTACAAGTAGGTAGACAGAAGGACCTATGTAGCCTAGCACATAGCCACACCCAGTTTAAAGACCTAGTCTATGAGAGTTGCAAAGCCTCTCAAAGTACACACAGCAAGTTTCCAAAGGGAATCCCCTCCACAGCAACCAAGCTCTGCAGTTAGTCCTATTTAGGTTTAAAGTCCATGTCTGTCACTGTGTTTTCCATAAAATAGTAATTCCCATCTTACATAAAGAAAATAAATGCAGGGCTGGAAAGATGGCTCAGCAGTTAAGAACACTGGCTCCTCTTCCAGAGGTCCTGAGTTCAATTCCCAGCACCCACAATCATTTATAGTGGGATCTGATGCTCCTCTTCTGGCATAAAAGTGTACCTGCAGATAGAGCGCATGTGCACGTACACACACACACACACACACACACACACACAGAGAGAGAGAGAGAGAGAGAGAGAGAGAGAGAGACAGAGAGAGACAGAGAGAGAGGGATAGTTAAGAAAATAAATACTTGAAAAAATGTTAATATCTCCGGGCGACATGCCTATAATCTCAGCACTCAGGAGGCAGATCTCTGTGAGTTTGAGGCCAGCTAGGTCTACAGAGCAAGTTTCAGGACAGGCACCAAAGCTACAGAGAGAAAACCTGTCTCTAAAAACCAAAAAAAAAAAAAAAAAAAAAAGTTAAATATCACAGATTTGGCATCAGAATAATAAAGAAAATAAAAATGTTAAATATCATTATTAACCCAACTCTCCTTAAATGCTCTACTCCTCTCCAAAGCAGTCTACATTTCCTTAATGAGGAGGAAAATACAGGCCTAGTTTGCAGTCAAAGTGTCTAACACTGAACTATTGAAGTAGTCCCACTGGAATACTAGCACACATGGAAAATTAGCATGGGTCAGGGGGTGGAGCACTCAGTTTCTTTCTCTATTGACCACAGCTGATTTAGTCAAATGCAATATGATATGTATGTTTAATCACAAATACGGTGGCTCACAACTGTACCTCCAGTTCCAGAGGATCCAATGCCCTCGTCTGACCTCCACAGACATATCACAGATTTACTACAGGCAAAACACTCACACATAAAATAAGTAAATCTTTTTTTAATTAAAAAAAAGTAAATAAAAACACATCAAGGGGGCTGGAGAGATGACTCAGAGGTTAAGAGCACTGGCTGCTCTTCCAGAGGTCCTGAGTTCAATTCCCAGCAACCACATGGTGGCTCACAACCATCCGTATGAGATCTAGTGGCCTCTTCTGGTGTGTAGCTATACATGGAAGCAGAATGTTGCATACATAATAAATAAAATCTTAAAAAAAAAAAAAGCAAACCACATTGTGGAGACACTCAAAGGATAGCAACCATGATACAAGTATTTCTCCCATATTCTTTATTCATAAAGCCAGGGTTGCAGCAGGCAATTAGAGTCAATGGCCACCTCTCTAGAATAACCTATTTCAAAGACTTAATACTGGGTTTCTGTCCACTCAACAAATCACCTCTCCATGGCACAGCAAGTTGACCTAACAATTAAAGCTATTTTTAAAACTGACTTAACAGGACACTTGACAGGATAAATCTACAGAGGCACGTGTTTGGAGAGTATGTTTACAATGTACTCCAAATGAAAAGTAATGTTTGTCGAACTGGTATCTGTGTCTGAGTATCCCCCCTTGCATCAGCCTAAGACAGACCTACATCACTCAGGTCTGAGTGTCCTTCTTGAGGTAGCCCAAGATAGGCCGACCACAGTCGGGCTGAGCATTACTGCTCATCAGATTTAACAGTAAAACAGTTTTAGTGGAAAGAAACGTATACTAATTTTTAGTTAAGTGCAAAATAATTTCATACTTCCTCCATAACTACCATTATTTCTTTTGAGATTATATCTTTAAAATATACTTCACAAATTGTGCCTAAAGTTTTGCTACATTCACTTATTTAGCATAACTGTCAAAGAATAAAAATAACAAGCTGGAAGGGCTTCCTTTCATCTAGGTCTATATCTGTGATAACAAATACTATTTTGGTTCAAAGAAGGGGTGCTTTTTGCTTACAAGATTATTTGCTCAAACGGTATAAGAGCAATTACTACATAATTAATATTACTAATTATTATTCTAATGGGATAATAAAAAGGCCAGTGGTTGTATATAAGAAAGATTTACAAGTCCCAAACAATCATTTAGAGTAACGAACAGTAAACAATAGAACACTATTTTGAAAAGAGTTTACAAGGGTTGGAAAACCACCTCAGCAGTTGCTCTTGCAGAGGACCTGTGTTCAGTTCCCAGCATCCACATGCATCACAACCAACTAACTCCAGTTCCAGGGGATCCAACACCCTCTTCTGACCTCCAGTGGCTCCTGGCACTCATGTGGTACACATACATACCTGCAAGCAAAACACTCAGATACATAAAATAAAGCAAAAAAAAATTTTTTTTAAGAATTTACAACACGCTGGGTGATGGTGGTCTTTAATCCCAACACTGGAGACAAAAGCAGGCAGATCTCTGTGAGTTTGAGGCCAGCCTGGTCTACGGAATGCGTTCCAGGACTACCCAATGAAACCCTATTTGTGAAAGAAGAAGAAGAAGAAGAAGAAGAAGAAGAAGAAGGATTTACAACATATAGTGAAAATCATTTTTAAAGGACTTGA